TGAGGGACAGCACCCAGGCCCGGAGTTCAAGTCCCATGACTGACCCCCCCCACCAAAAAAATGAGGTAAGACTCCTTCCTTGGCTGACTGGCATCTCCCCTGAGGCCCTGGGGCTGCAGGTGTGTAAATGTCACCTGTGTATGATGGAGGATAAAACTGAGTGGAAGCAAAGAGCAATTACAGAGCCGGCCGGTTGTAAGCGATGCCTGCTTTCCCAGGGGGTCTCTCACCAGACAGACATGGGGAAAAGCCCAGGTTGGTCCAAGAGCTCATTTTCTCTGTAGCAGCCCGGCCCCGTCTTGTGAGGTGGGGATGCTGTGCTCCCCAGTTCCCTCCTCCCACCCTGAGCCAGACACCCCACTGATTCCACAGACTCCATGGCATGCTTTCTTCTTTGGGCTCGGCTTTCTTTTCACAGCCCCCACAACCAGGGTAGTTCTGACAAGGTCCCCATCGGTTTTTCAGCACTCCTATAGCTGCATTAGGAGCCCCAGCCCTGGGCCCCAGTCCATTCAAGTTCCAGTTGTGGCCTTCATTTCCAGTCCCTGTGCCTCCTCAGGAAGGGTAGCAGGGGTGGGACAGTGTCTGCCTAGCACATGTGAGGCTGAGTTCAAACCCCTGTACCACCTGAACTTTAAGTAACAATAAATACATCTTCAGAATATCCAAGAGTAATCAATACATTTAGAAGGTTCAGGAAAAGAAAATCCAGGTGCACATTTTCCCTCTTTGTTAGGAAAGAACAGCTGCTGGGAAGCTAAGTTGACTGAGAATGAAGGGGTCCTTCTGATGTTGAAAAAGAGCCGTTCAGCCAGGCACCCATGGCTCTCGCCTGTCATCCTAGCTACTCAGGAGGCTGAGATCAGAGGATCATGGTTCAAAGCCAACCTAGGCAGCAAAGTCCATGTGACTCTTCAATAAACCACTCAGAAAAAGCCAGGAGTAACTCTGTGGCTTAAGTGGCAGAGTGCTAGTCTCGAGCACAAAGAGGCTCAGGGACAGCGCCCAGCTCTGAGCTCAAGCCCCAGGATCAGCAAAAAAAATAAATAAAAGTTTCAGGTTTGGTTGGCACTTCATGTCATACCTTTAGAAATGCTAGTAGGTTGTAGACTTGGAAAATGTTAATGCAGATTGTCACTAGTCTGTTTTGTTTTTAAAACAAAAGCACAGTATCAAATTCAATGCACATCCTACAAACTTAAGAAAAGTGAGGGAAGGGGAGGTGGGTTGGGAGGGGCGGGTGAGGATGTGGATCAAGATGCACTGTATTTATAAACTACAACTCCCATTTGTACAACTACTTATAGAGCATAACGCTATTGGTTTTCCTGATTTGTGGTAGCTAGCACTAGCCTCTAAGTCTAGAAGTAAACACATTGGGCGGGATGTAAGTTGTTACAAAAAGTATTAACTGAAACCCGGTAGACTCTAGGGAGAGCATATATAGTATAATTTCTGAGAAAGACTAAGTCAAAGGCCCAGGAAAATAAACACCAGAATACAGGTCCTTGCAAGGGAGGAGGTTGGGCTAAAGGGAGAGGGGTAGAAAAATGAAGAAAAGAAGATAGGAGGAATGCAGTCAAGAATTTATTGTCTAGGGCTGGGAAGGTGGCTCAGTGGAAGAGTGCTTACCTTGCATGCATGAGGCCCTGGGTTCGATTCCTCAGCACCACATAAGCAAAAAGAAAAAAGCCGGAAGTGGCACTGTGGCTCAAGTGGTAGAGTGCTAGCCTTGAGCTGAAGAGCTGAGGAACAGTGCCCAGGCCCAGAGTTCAGACCCCACGACCGGAACCAAAAAAAAAAAAAAAAAAGAATTTATTGTCTGTACTACAAAATTAAGAAAAACAATGCAAGGGGTGGAGGAGGGAGGGTGTGAAAAGGGGAGACTGATCAAGATGCACTGTCTTGGTGAACTCCTTTGCAAAACCAGCAACTCCTTTGTACAACGACTTAAAGATATTTTTTAATTTAAAAAAAAAATAGCACACCCTTTTTTAAATCCAAGGCTACCAGCATAAGCAGGACTGAAGAAGAGAAATCTTTCCAAAACTACGTCTTTGTTGTCAGATCAAATAAAAGCTTAGGGAAGGCAGCGCCAGACAGGCTGCGCAGAACCGTCGACTTCTTTAAAAACAAGCTTTCTCCTTTTGAAATGGAATGGGCTTCCCTCCCTTTCTCCCCTCCCCATCCTCCACCCTACCCCTGTTTGGGCGTTTGGAAATGTTTTGTTCTCAACTAAAGCAGTTGCACCATATTAGGTAAGGTCTTCCATCCTTGCCGCTGGAGAGGAATAAGCAAGCACTGAGTTCACAAGTTTGATCCCCTCAAAAGACACGTTTGAAGGTGATGCTTTGATATCCTCTACCCGCCGCATGACTGGCCTGCGCTGAGCTGAGCTGAGCCAGCTCCCTGGCCTGGGGTCTAGCCTGTGCTTCCGGGCTATCTGGCCCAGATCCTTCTTTGAGTCTACTTCACCCCCTGGTGGCCAGATGTAGTATCTCCACCCACTGGCCTAGAAAAAGGACATTTCAGCTGTAGTATTCGGTCAGGAATTATGACACAGACCTTTTCAAACAGACCCTTTTCAAAGATGGATTTTCCCATCCCATCCCACCTCCCCCAAAAATAAAAATCCTGTAAATGGCATATACAGGATTCCAAATGAGGAAGAAGCTCTAGGTTGATCTCTTAAAACATTTTTATTTTTGGTAGGGGGGAAGGAGGAGGGGGAGGGGGCATTCCCACGGTCAAAGACTCATCAGTAGAAGTAGAATGAATTTAGACTTCTAGCAGGGTGAAGTGATTTATGCTTTGTGTCAAAAGTTCCTAATTGAGTGCCGTGGGTCCCTCCCCAGAATTGTTTCTGCCAGGATGGCTTAAAAGAAATAAAACATTTTTTGTCTCAGAATTCTTCCCCCCCTAGAGTGCTTCACTTGCTTTTGGTCTTCGAAGCCAACCTAAACCCACTCCCTCTCATTTCCACCATGGAGCTTTTATAATTTTGTGGTTTTTTTAAGCAGTTCTCCATATGTTTCACAGATTTATAATCACATAAAACTTTTATTCCATAATTAGGAGAACAAGGGCCAATTTCTCATAACTACCCTCCAATTTCTCTTAATTTCAGTGTGTTCAAAGTATTTGCATTCTCAAGGGTTTTTTTTTAATTTTATACATGCCTCTTGCCTTTATTCTTCATTTATTTTTGCAGTACTGGGGACAGAAGCTAGGGCCTCAAACTTGGTAAGCAAGCATTCTACTACTGAGCAACTTCCCTGTCCCCATCCTCCTAATATGAATGTTCAAATGTCTGCTGCTCTGGTGTTCAAACAATGGACTATGCACTGGGTATGATATATGTATATGTATAGAACTGTGACTATGTCCATAAATACGGACAGTCAGTAAAACCATTGCTGTCATTCTATGTAGCACACCCTTAATTACAACCTGTTTATGTATTTACTCAGTATTTATTTATTTGAGAATCAAAGATTTCCTAGGACACCATTAAGGAAAAAATGGTGAGCAGTTAGACAGAGTGGAGCAGCACCATTAGTAGTACAGCTTGACCGATTTTTCTCTTTAATTCACACATCGACGCTTGCATTTTAAACTTAATAGGTGGATTGTATAGCTATTCCAAACTATGATGAAGTAAAAATGATCAAGTGGCTTGGAAAATAGCTATACACTCATTTGATGTTGAAAACCAGATCTGATATGCGTGTGCATGTGTGTATGCGTGTGCATGTGTGTATGCGTGTGGGTGGTGGTATGCACATGTGTGTATGTGTGGTGGTGTCTGTGTAGACATTGCAGTGGATGAGGGCTATAGCCTGTGTGTGTGTGTATGTGTGTGTGCACACGCTGATGACGCACACCTGTCATTCTAGCTACTCAGGAGGCTGGGATCTGAGGATCATGGTTTGAAGCCAGCCTAGGCAGGAAACTCCATGAGACTCTTATCTCCAAGTAACCACAAAAAAGCCAAAGTGGAGCTGTGGTTCAAGTGGCAGAGCACTAGCCTTGAGCAAAAAAGCTCAGGGACTGCACCCAGGCCCTGAGTTCAAACCCCAGGACTGACACAAAGAAAAGTTTTCCTAATTCCCATGTGCCTGTAGCAGACCCATGCCAGGTTTTGTCCTTCCTGTCTGAGCTGTGGAGCCCCATCCATCCACCACCTGATGGGAAAGGAATTTGCTTTGGACCACAGAGAAGAGCCATTCCCTCAGTCCTTCCGTTCCTACTCACCCAACACCCTCTCAAGGCCAGCCCAGCAAAGGAGAAGGAAACTTACCTACAGCACCCAGGAATTTTTTTGTTGCTACAGTGAACAAAACACTGGGAAAATAAAAGTCTTCGGAGAGTCTAGAAGAAAATTAGCATGTTCCTGAACATCACGAGAAACCAGCTCATGATGTTTTCCAACCACGTAGGGACAGTGCGAGCTGGCGGACACGCGCTTTCTCTCGTGCCTCCACCATGTTCGCTTGTTCCCATGAGCCTCCGCGCCGCTTACGTCTGAGGCCTCAGACAGGCAGATGTCCCTGTGCTTGAAACACATGTAAATCAAGTCCACTTATGAAGTAGCATGAGGGTATCCCTATGTTGAATAACTGTCATCTGAACATGCAAATAAGAGCACGTTAAAGGTCCTATCTTGGTGAATATCAGCATTTCATGCAACATATTTAGGAATGTGGGGAAAGGTACCATTTTTCAGGCCACCAGCTAGCACCACTGTCTTGAACAACTTAATCGCTACTTGGCCTAGATGCTTTGCCCTTCAAAGAAGTAAATGATCTTGATGACGTGGGGCTGCGTGAGATCTAGCCATCAGCGGTAGGGGGGAGAGGGGGAAATTCCCCAGTGTCTTTCAAAGTCTGTGATGAAAAGAAAATATCCAACAAAAGACATCCATTTCCCTAACTCCGTCTTCTTTCTTTCTCTCTTTCTCTGTCTCTCTCTCTGTCTCTGTCTCTCTCTTGTTTCTGCAGACTATGTCACAGAGTCACAATGACCTTGCACAGTAACAGTTCGGCCTCACCTTTGTTCCCCAACTCTTCGTGGATCCCCAGCCCCTCAGATGCAGGCCTGTCCCCCGGGACAGTCCCTCACCTTGGCAGCTACAACGTCTCTCAAGCGTCAGAGAACCTCTCCTCTCCCAACGGTACGGCAGCCGACCCCCTGGGAGGCCACACCGTCTGGCAGGTGGTCTTCATCGCGTTACTCACTGGTTTCCTGGCCCTGGTGACCATCATCGGCAACATCCTGGTCATCGTGGCGTTTAAGGTCAACAAGCAGCTGAAGACGGTCAACAACTACTTCCTGCTCAGCCTGGCCTGCGCCGACCTGATCATCGGGGTCATTTCCATGAACCTGTTCACCACGTACATCATCATGAACCGCTGGGCACTGGGGAACTTAGCCTGTGACCTCTGGCTGTCCATTGACTATGTGGCCAGCAATGCCTCTGTCATGAATCTCCTGGTCATCAGCTTCGACAGGTACTTCTCCATCACCAGACCCCTCACCTACCGGGCCAAACGAACAACCAAACGCGCCGGCGTGATGATCGGCCTGGCTTGGGTCATCTCCTTTGTGCTGTGGGCTCCGGCCATTTTGTTCTGGCAGTACTTTGTGGGGAAGAGAACAGTGCCTCCGGGCGAGTGCTTCATCCAGTTCCTCAGCGAGCCCACCATCACCTTCGGGACGGCCATTGCGGCCTTTTACATGCCGGTCACCATCATGACCATCTTATACTGGAGGATCTATAAGGAGACTGAGAAACGCACCAAAGAGCTGGCCGGGCTGCAGGCCACGGGGACCGAGGCCGAGGCCGAGAGCTTCGTCCACCCCACGGGCAGTTCTCGGAGCTGCAGCAGCTACGATCTCCAGCAGCAGAGCCTGAAGTGCTCGGGCAGGAGCAAGTATGGCCGCTGCCACTTCTGGTTCACCAGCAAGAGCTGGAAGGCCAGCTCGGAGCAGATGGAGCAGGACCACAGCAGCAGCGACAGCTGGAACAACAATGACGCGGCCGCCTCGCTGGAGAACTCGGCCTCCTCCGACGAGGAGGACATCGGCTCCGGCTCCGAGACCAGAGCCATCTACTCCATTGTGCTCAAGCTACCTGGCCACAGCACCATCCTCAACTCCACCAAGCTCCCCTCCTCTGACAACCTACAGGGCCCCCACCAGGAGCTGGGGCCGCCGGACGTGGAGAAGAACGCCACCAAACTCCAGGCCCAGGAGAGCATGGATGATGGCGACAGCTTTCCCAAAGGCTTCTCCAAGCTGCCCATCCAGCTAGAGTCAGCCGTGGATGCAGGCAAGACTTCCAATCCCAACCCCTCGGTGGGCAAAACCACGGCCACGCTACCTCTGTCCTTCAAGGAAGCCACGCTGGCCAAGAGATTTGCTCTGAAGACCCGAAGTCAGATCACCAAGAGAAAGAGGATGTCGCTCATCAAGGAGAAGAAAGCAGCCCAGACCCTGAGTGCCATCCTGCTGGCCTTCATCATCACCTGGACGCCCTACAACATCATGGTCCTGGTGAACACCTTCTGCGACAGCTGCATCCCGAAAACCTATTGGAATCTGGGTTACTGGCTGTGCTACATCAACAGCACAGTGAACCCCGTGTGCTACGCCCTGTGCAACAAGACATTCCGCACCACCTTCAAGATGCTCTTGCTCTGCCAATGCGACAAGAGGAAGAGGCGCAAGCAGCAGTATCAGCAGAGACAGTCCGTCCTCTTCCACAAGCGAGGGCCCGAGCAGGCCTTGTAGAGACACAACGCGTCCATGCCAAGTGACAAAACAAAATCAAAAGAAACCTCACAGGGTCGACCCACAATCCTGAGCGAGGAATGAGGCTCGGGGTGGGGGAGAGGGCGACTTTGGTGATCCTCAGAATGTGGTGGTGGCATTTTGTTTGTTTGTTGTTGTTTTTTTATCACCAAGATAGAAAAAGAAGTTGCCTGTTTACTGATGCATTGAATAAGTCAGTTTTCATATTTAAAAGAAAAAAGTCAAATATCAATTCAGAGAGAGAGAGAGAGAGCATACTACTGAATATAAAGGAATTTGTTCTGAAATGGACTTTGTTTCTTTCTTGAAGGGGAAAGCAATACCGCTCTCCCACCCCTGATTTTCCACTCGGGTCGATTCCACTGGGTCCTCTCGGTCCCGTGAGCTCTGACGTCACAGAGGAGCCTCGCTCTGCCAGCCACCTCAGGCATTCCGAGGGGCTCGCGTGTTGATCCTGACCCTGCGTCCGGCAGAGCCGGCTGGTGGCTCTGTGGTCCTAAAATGATCTCCTCCACGGCACAGCCGAACCTTCTTGTCCCAACAGAGCTTCCGTCCTCCCCTCTGGCCGTGCGTGTTGTTAAAACTCTTTATTTGTGGACTTGGTTCTTGCAGAGTACTGTTGTTCTTTTGTTTTGTTTTGTTTTGTGCAGTTCAAGTTTTGTACCAATAAAATTGCCTATGTATACATATCTGTGTGTGAGTACTGCACGTGCACACACGATGTATATATAATGTAACGGGAAATAATTCGACGGGCTGATCATTCCTGCAATATCTGTTTTCAGTACTCTGGTAACTGAAATTCTCGAGGATCCTAATACCATATAAAAGTGAAATCAACCCAGTTGAATGATGTTCGCCACTGTGGCTCCTGTATTACACCAAGCACCCCAAGGACCGTACAGTGGGAAGCCACCACAGGTCCTCCACAGGTCTGTGCAGAACAGATGGGCACCTCCTGGGCTAGCGCAGACTCCGTGTAAGCAATCTCCTCTGTTGGTCATTCCTTCCTAAGAGCTGAGCCAGGGCCCCTGAGCTCACAGAATTAACTGTTCGATTCCATGTGCTGCAATCCAGTCCTTCCTGTGAGAACGGCCCTGGGTAACAACCCAGCACGATTTCTGCTATCTGAACTGCTAGAAATTAATAGTCACCTCTGAATGTGGTATACGGCAATCTATAGGGTAAAGCAAGATCATTATTTAAAAAAAAAATCGTGAGAGAAATGAAGGAGAGTATTATATTTGATTTCTTGCTACCTAGCACCTTCTAGAAAGAAAGCAGGCCTTACCTCCTCCTGTCCCCAGGGGCAGGGGGCCTTCACTGTGTAATCTTCACCCCGAAATGGGGTGGGTGGGGGGTTTAGGAAGGCTTGTGTCTTCTGGGGTGGGGTGGGGGGGTGGAAACATTTTTGCACTTGGAAAAGTATGGCTATAGATTGATTTCCTTCTGTTTTGCAAACCGAATTTTTGCATTGTCCTTTGACTTGACCCAAGGGGTAAAGGTTTTCTCTGGGGTCGGGGGCGCTGCTTCTCTTGCTGTGGTTGTTGCTGCTGTACTGTTGGGATTCCCTCTTCTCCTTTTGCTGGGGCTGTGTGGGATGGGGGCGGGGGCGGGGGGGGGGGGGCGGGAGGGCTGGGGAGAACTCTTCCCTTTGTCCCTTTTGTGCTGGGGCATCTGTGTTGTGAACCCAGAGCTGGGGCCGAAGCTGCTTTTGTACGCAGTGTGAGGTGTTGTTTACAGACAACTTATACAGCCGTGGACGTCTTCGCCGTGCTGTGTGTATGTATCTGAACTATTTAATGTGTCATGTTTATATGAAGACTATTTATGCATATTTCACCAAGTGTTTATTTAATGTTGATAAACCTGACTACTTCAGCCCTGGTGTCCTTCAACGTGATTCTTTAATTACGAATCGCATCCCTTGAGCTTCCCGTATGGCCAAGAAGAAGAGAAACGTGTCACCTTGTTGCTCTCCACCACTAGCTAACCCTTTTGGGGTAAGAAAAGGTCACATGTCACTTGACACCAATGGCTCAAATCACCCTGTAGGTCACCTGATCAGAGTTCACAAAGCAACCCTCCCCCTCCTCCTCCTATATTTCAGATCACATTGAAAGGAGAGGGAAAAATGCAAATCAGCATAATTGTAAGAGTGATTTTTCCTTATAATTTTATGATTTTTGGTTATCTTTAAGAAGTTGTACAAAGGGGTTTGGGAATGATTTTTTTTAATTTTTGACCCACATTCAACCAAAGAATAAGAAAAAAGCAGAGACTCTTTTTCTAATGTGTAAAATAAATGATAGAATGTTATGTCATCCACTGTGAAGCATCTAGTAAGCAACTGCATCTATATTTTATTACTCAACATGGCCTGGCACTAATAAATATGTGAATGTTTATCCAAGTCTTCCAGTATATCAGTAATTCCCATCTCTGAGCCCTTCCACCCTGCCTCTCTCTCCAAAGGGCTAGTCCTGCATTTTAAAAAGAATGATGATGATTAATAATAATAATAATTGTCTGTGAGGAACCAACAAGTTTAACACAAACTCCGAGTTTGGGCAAAACATCAAGGGTTAATTAGGCTCCTACTTAGGCATAATTATCTCCTAATTCTTGGCCTTCTGTGATACTCGTGAGAGAAATAAACCCAAGACCAGGCTCTCCCACTGCTGGTTTCCTTAGGTTATTGCTGTTAGGACCCACAGATGAGAGCTGTTCTAATCACCATCAGCTCATACCCTGTTGATACACAGGTAGGCCCAACTCTTGGGTTGTTTTCGGAGAAGCAAAGCCAGCCACAAGGACTCTTAGGAATAGGAAAGGTTTAGAAGTTTAACTAAAGATGTCTTGAGTGTTTGGTTTTCTTCTTTGTGCCAGTCTTGGGACTTGAACTAGGGACCTTGGCACTGTCCCTTAGATTTTGCTGTTCATGACTAGTGCTCTACCACTTGAGTCACATCTCCACTTCTGGCTTTTTGATAGTTAATTGGAGATAAGAGTCTCTCAGATTTTTCTGCCAGTCAGGCTGGCTTTGCACTGCGATCCTCAGATCTCAGCTTCCTGAGTAACTAGGATGACAGGCGTGAGCCACCAGCGCCCGGCACAACAATGAGTGATGCGAAGTGGACATTAATGAGACAGATCTCAGAAATGTTAGAAAATGTGCTCAGCATTTAGAGAAGATCCAATAGAGAGAGAGAGAGAGAGATCCTCAGTCTTAAGAGTCAAAGATCCCACATAAATGAGGTCTGCAGAGATGTCAGGACTGCCCTCTTTAACTGAAACCAGAAATGAATGAAACCTAAACTAAACCACACACAGACACACATAGACAACATCTCTCTCCATCCGCCATCTTCCAGGTCCTTCCAGGAGACAGGACATGCGCTCTCTGGTCCCCTGCTTGCCCCACTCTCTGGCCCATCTTTTACCCCGTGCCTCTCTGTTCTTACACCCTCTGCTTCTCTAACCAGCCTGGACTTGGCTACCTGGTTCCCGTTTCTACTCTCTCCTTGATACACTAGGTCTAGATTCAGAAAGAAAACAGGCAAGGATGCTCAGGTCCAGAAAATAGGCAAGGATGCCCAGAAAGCAGGCAAGGATGCCCAGGTCCAGAAAACAGGCAAGGATGCCCAGGTCCAGAGCGCCAGCATCCTGTCTCCACCACACTTCCCATTCTGGAGCCAGGCACGTGAGCCTCTCAGTGCAGCCGGTGAGCGGGACTGGAGGCCTGGCTGTGCTGAGGGACAGCGCAACCCTGAACCACCTCTAGGAGGGAGGGGGGGGTTACCAAGGCTATGGGGAGACCAAGGAGAACCCCAGAATCAGTCAGGGTGGGGTGACTGGGATTATCTGATGGAGGTTATTCAAAGCCCAGGACATTTCATTGAGAAATCAGACAGGCTGGCACTGGCCTCTCCGTGAGCAAAGGAGGGGGGCACTGGGTCATCAGAGGAGCACTGGGTGTGGGTGGAAAGTTCCAGCCATACCTAGCAACATGGTCCTCAGATGCCACTGGCACCACCCATACTCCCTGGGTGAAATTAAGCCACAGCCTGGCGCATCTCTAATTCCCATCCCCAGGGTGCACGGGTCAGTGCGGTGTGAGCCCCAGGACAGTGACCCCTCTCTCTTTTTTGTAAAATTGTATTGTCAAGGTGAGGTACAGAGGGGTAACAGTGACGTAAGTAAGGTCGTGAGTACATTTCTTGTCTAACTTGTTACCCCCTCCCCCATTTTTCTTCCTCCCTCCCCCCTCAGCGCTCCCCCCCCAAGTTGTCCAGATCATTTCCAACATACTGTCTGGTGAACATTGCTGCTCCGTTGGTTTCCCCCTTTGTCCTTGGTCTCACCATTTTGTGGTTCCCCTCCCCTTCCCTAGTTCAGAGACACAAATACCCAATACCCACAGTACCAAAATATAATACGGTGACCACAAGGCATAAACCATAGCAGGGAAAGCACAAAAGAAAAAAAAGAAATCACCTAGTCCCTTAAGAACAACAACAGCAATTATCTGCCTCCCATTTCCAAGTTTGGCTGTTCTCCACCAGCAATGGAGTTCCTAAAGATGACACGTGTGTTGTTTCTGACATGGACAGCCCATTGGAAAGTAGGCGCCCATCACCAGTCCTCTCAGATTCCGCTCCCCAGGGCTGGTGGACTGGTGGCGCTGGTCCAGTTCCATGACTCTGAGCCAGGCGCCATGTCTGGCTGGCACACGTGCCCTGTTGGAGGTTTGCAGAAGGCCAATGCCCCAGGGACCTAGGCGGCTGTGATCACTTCCAGGAGCCGGGCAGGGATCTTCCCAAGCTGCTGCCTCGGTTGCTGGGAAGGAGAGAATGGTGAGAGATGAGGAACTGAGTACAGAGGGAGGGAATGAACGGGACACAGCGGAGAGCTGCTGGCCATGGGCATTCATTGGTAGAAGGAGAAGACAGGGCCCTGGGATGGGTGGGGTACCGGGGGCT